TCGGCTCATTTTGTATTTGTGTAGCTTTCGGCTTGTGTCCTGCTTCTCTGAGCATTTAGCCAGCGTATTGCTAGTTTGGAATTTTAGTTAGTTTTCTTTTGGCTAGCTTTGTGCTGTTTTAGCATTTAGCTGTTGTTTTGCTACTTTTCCTTTAAAGTAGGTTGAGCACTCGGTGTGTGGTTGATTCATATTAATGATCTGAAGTTTCTACGTAACTCCCGTAAGCCGTCTGTATTCATCATGACCTCGCTCGAACCCGTTACCTTTAAACACCTGCTGACCCTTGAACTCTGCGCCTCACCTTGATTGACATGTCCTCGCCGCCCAGAGACACCAGGACTTTAACAGGTGGGAGGGTGCTGCTGCTCCCGTGAGTCTCAATGGTCGCTCTCATTGCGTTCTACAAAATAAAACCGTAACATTTCATTTGAATTAGCATTTTTAAGGTTCCTATGGTTGTCAGAAAACTGAAGGGGGAGGGGGGGGGGGGTACCTTGAAGAGCTCGAACAGCATGTGGTAAAGGTGAGAGGGCACATACACGATGGTGACCGGATGATTCTTCTTCTTGTCTGCACAAAGACAAACAGACCAACAAACAACTCAACTGAGACTTCAGGATGTTTCAGATCTGGTTTGACCGGCAGAACTCCTGATTTCGTCTTTAAACAAAGATAAACAACTTACGGTTCATCTCCTGCAGGACCAGGTCTGGGGAGCGCAGGTAGTACTGTTCACACAGCAGCTTGGCGCTGTGGAAGGCATCTGAAAGGAAAAGAAAAGCAACAAAATTAGATTTGCGAACAAAAATAAAAGTTAAAACCCAACGCGAGACGCACGCTCACCCTGGACTACATCTCCCACTTGGCACTGAGGGTCGATGCTCCCGATGGTGTTCGGGTGGACGGGGTTCGTCGTGCCGTCAAAAACAAGAGCTGCGGGAAGAAATAATTACACACCTTTAATTAAAAACCAGCAAGTCTTTACTTTAGAACAACTCTTTCCTAAAGAACAACTTCAGAAGGTTCAGATGTAGACGTGTCTGACGAGTCCTTCGCTTGTTCTGGAAAAACAACACGAGTTAATAAATGCAGGACTCAAACCAGCCGGTGTGGACACAGTTCCCTAAAGCGCAGGTTATGTAAAAGTCATAAAGGTTCATGCAGTTTGGAAACTGTGCATGCATCAGCAGGTTTACACGCCGGCTGATTGAAGCTATCTAGAACAAATAAAACTCTGGACAGGACAAGATCGAACCGGATCAACAGGATGCTTTTTAAATCTGGTTTTAACTCCAAGCTGAAGGCAGCAGAAGGCCCTCTGCACGAAAACAGCTAAAGAGGCAGGCTATCTGCTTCAGTCAGGAATAAAAGCTGAAGTTTATGACGCCTTAATGACAGCGCGTTCTTTCTTTACTCTGTTGTTTGGATCAGACTGAACTGCCGATTTTACCGAGATAAGAAGCAGATTTATCTCCTCGTCGTCAAATCCACCCGATAATCTGAGAGATCGATAAAAATCAATGCAACAATAATATTTTTTTATATTTTTAATTTGTTTTCTTTAAAGAAGCAACTTTTTTTTTTTTTTTAAAAGGCACTCGTTACAAAGAATGAACTCAGACAAAAAATGTTTTTTTTCTGATTTATATCAAAAGGTTTTGTTCACTCCAGCAGTTCGACGCATAAATCAATCAGGGATTCTGAAATGCGGGTACACGCTCAACGTAAATAACATCTGTCAGGGGATTTCAGGTAAAGGTTTAAGGATTTTTATCACTGCTAATGAATTAATGTTGAACCATGTGTGCGCGGAGTTCTTTTTCTCCCTCTGAGAGGAGCCTGCAGGCGCCTCCGAGTCGAAGAGGCCGAGGCCATCGTGCTGATGAGCGTTATAAAAACACTACCTGCACACTGTCCGGAGAAGATCTTCACGAGCGAGACATCTGTGTGAACTCTGCCCTTACAAGTAAACTGAGATTAAAAATATCTTCTGTCTTTGTCTGCGACTCTTTTTAGCTAAGGAGACAATGAAAGGATATTTTTATCCAACATAATCTGTCAAGAACCAAGTGGACGCTTGAACCATGAGAAATCTGAATACATATCCATACACGACTGATTTTTACTTTCCAGTATTAATTAGCCACCTATTTGCATTTTAAAACAAAGTTTGGATTTTAAGACAAGTCCATCGACAAATAAATAAAACATTTCTATAAATTAATGCACTGACTGTAACATATACTCAGTACAAAGTGGAACATTAATGTTTTTTATGTATATTCTTGTTTTTTTGTTCAGAACTAAAATGACAAAACATTTTTTTTTGTTTCTCTGGAAACTCGAGTATCGATCCAGTCATGCTCTTCCTACAATGTTGGTGTCAATATTTAAAGATCTTTGTCAACCAAATGACTAAAATACTTTTATAAACATCGTAGGCTAAAGTCGGAAAACGAGCAAAGAAAAGCGTTTTCAAAAATTAAATTTAAAAGCTATTAAAAATGCATTGACTTGAAACATTATTAGAGCCCGACCAATATTGGAATTTTGGTGATCGCGATACCGATATTGGGCCTAACGCCGATAACCGATATATTGGTTGAAAATTTCTGAACTTTGTCCACCCATCCAAACAATGCGTTTCATTGAGGACGACAAAGATAAAGTTACTAACATTGATTTATTTTACCTCTACGTTAGATTTATTGTTCTGGATAAAGTTTTCCAAGGCAACGGCCTATGCTAGGTTATTTAAACATTCGAGTGCTAACTTGAAACAACAAGTGGGTTAGAGAGGACTGAAGAAAATTTATTACTGTGGATTTGTTTTTATTTTACAGATCAGTTACAATAAAGTTACAATGCTCTGTTCAGCAAAATACACTACACAGTATTACTCCCTGCTTTGGCTGCGCTTTGAGTCAAGTATGCGTCATAGCCATGACTGGAAAGAAGTCCGCATGCGCCCTCTGCTGGATACATTGTACAATGACGCCATTTTGCAAGTAAGGACACGGCTGGTTCCCAGTGTTTATATTGGCGCATAATGGGACAATTATCACAGATATCGGCCTAAAATACCGGCCCAACCGATATATCGGTAAGGGCGATATATCGGTAAAGGCGATATATCGGTAAGGGCGATATATCGGTTGGACTCTAAAAATTACACAACAAAATTAATTAATTAAAAGAAATCAACCTAAATAAATACTGCTGACTCACTGTGTTGGTTGATGAGCATTCGGATGGAGATGCGGCTCATGTAGAACCGATCCAGGAAGTACTGGATGTTCTGGTTGGTGACCGTGTCCTGGGGAAAGTTCTCTTTGTATTCGATGATGCCCTGCGCCATGGTCGGCACCACGTCGTTGTGTCTGTTTCTGATGGTGACCAGGGTGTCCACGAACCTGGAGAGGACAAATAAAGTCAGCTGGCTGTCAGTAGTGGTAGTGGGTTGTTTTAATGACGTGTCAGCAACAGAAATCATGGCAACGAGGTGTAAAAAACTAACGAATACAGCTTATTTAAAGCTAATAATTAGAAATATACAATTAAAATCTACTTTTTGAATCAATATTTGATCATTACAAATCATTTCCATGCTGTTTTAATAGTTCAAACAATGTCTTGTACTGGCATTAAGCCAACAGTGACCAGTGCTGCACCGTGGATAAACTACGGTACTTGATCAGGCGTAGTTTGGAAAGCAAACGGAGGCGTCATGTTGGGTTAAATTGACAGTTTGTCATTAAAACAATCAGTGTGACACATGTGGGCCTGCAGTCTGAGGCACGGACTCGGGGCTCTCTGAGCAGCATGCTCTGCTTTGTCATTCACAGAAACCAGAATAACTTGGTCCTTATTGCAAAGTCATGAAGACCAGACAAAAATAACCTTAAAGAAACTAAATCTGCACAATATTTTCCTCATACCGACGGTTAATGTGTCCGTAAATTAAAAAAAATTGTGAACAAAATGTATTGACTACCAGGTATTTACCTAAAACAGTGGTTCTTAACACTGGTCCTTGAGGAACACCATCCTGCATGTTTAAGTTGTTTTTCTGCTTTGACACACCCGATTCGAATGAACAGGTGATTAACAGGCTTCTGCAGAACTTGAAGAAGTGATGAAATCACTGAATCAGGGGTGTTGGAGCAGGAAACAACTAAAACATGGTGTTCCTCAAGGACCAGGGTTGGGACGGCCAAAGTGATGGAAAATACCAGCTGTATTTATTTACTTACATCGACGGCTTAATATAGGTCAATCAAGTGACTCGAGCTGCCACGTGCTTGTTGACAGATTCAGCTTTGTTTACATTGAGTGCGTACCTGCATTACAGCATTACATATTCATATATCTGGAAAACTACTGCAGTAAATTCTTTCAAACTGCTCCATTTGATAAATATCAGGATAATATTTTTTTATGTTTGATTTCATTTTTCAGTTTTGCGTTGAGTACCTTTAAACTCTAAAGTTCTACTTTCATCCAGCTGCCAGGAGTTCTCATTAAATGTCACAGAAACAGATGCACTGGGTGTGAAAACGGGTGTTTTTGTGCAGTTTGGAGCACACGTTCACCTAAAACTTACTCTGAAAGCACTTTGTGGTCGTCTGGATTCTGGTCTAAAAAGTCTAGGATCTCCATCAAACTCTGACTGTACCTGAAAAGCACAGAGACAAACACACGGGAACATGTGAAACACAGAAGGCGACGGCGCGCCGAGCGCCTCTGCAGACGATGAAAGTTCACAAAGGAGGCAGAAGACAGACCGCGGAGAAAAACACACGTCACGTGGGTCTGTGACGTGGAAACTGGGGGAAAGTTCAGAGGCTGCAGCCACGCCTCACAACCTCTGCTCACAGCCAGTTGGAGCGAGTACAACTTGGTCAAAGGCTTTTGTTTTGATTCAGCGCGTTATGCAAGTTATGAGGGTGAGTAAACAGCTTGGGTTCGAGGCGAACACCAGCAGCTGCGGCTGTAATAAAACCTGCAAACAAGCGTTGCAATAAAGCTGAGAGGTACTGATTTTACTGCTGTTGGTTTCAGGGTGTTATAGTCCAATAAAAGGCTGAAGCACTGGGTTACATAACGTCACAATGATCAATAGGTCACGTCCTGGATCAGCAGCTGGACTCACCAGCTCCGCACCATCTGCACAGACGGGGTCAGGAGCACTTTGTCAGGCAGGAGGTTGATTTCTTTCATGATGTTTGAGAGTCTTACAGGGAGCTCCTGCCGCAGAAACACGAAGGACGTCTTCTCGCAGGCGTTGATGGAGCCTACGTCAACACAAAGGAAACACAAAGCAGGACTCGTTTAAACTCATTTAGCCCATTCTACATGCACACATGTCAAATTAATTCATTTGTTTGGGTTATGTGCCGTCAACCTTGCCACTTTAAAAAAAAAAAATTAACAATCTTTGAATTGTAAAATTAAAATCGCATGATTATGTTTGTTTTATGACAATTAAATGAATCAAATTTACTTATTAGAGTCACATTTATAGAAAGAATAGGAGTTAAAAAAATAAAGCTAAACCGTTTGTTTTATTTCCATGCATCTTGCACTGTAAATACCATGTTTACAGCTGTGCTCATGAGTGTTTGGTGCATTTAGGTGCAGATAATGTTTTTGTGATAAGTTTATTTTGATCAGTATTGTCTTCAGCAGATCTGATACAACACTTCAGAGAACTGCATGTCCAGGCTCTAGGAGCAGACGGCTAGCCTTTTAATTTCACAAACACGAGTCACACTATGACCATTTGTTGCCAACTTTAACTGCATTGTGATCAGATTTAAGTGAAACTGCACGTTATGAGCTCCATTTACTCACCGAAATCCAGAAACTGCTTCATGGAAAGCGGCGACGGAGAAAATTTAGAGAAATGCTCTATGTGTTTCGGCGCGTTGGCCAACGCGGCGTTTTTCATAATAAAACGAACGAACTTCATGTTTTCTTAGCTGCTTGGGAGTTTTAGCGCCTCCTTTCTGTGTCTTTCTGTGTCAACAGCATCTGCTGCTAAACTATGCTAAGCTAACGCGACCAGCTTCTCTTCTCAGCGAACGATTCACAACAGCCGCGGCCTCGTGCAGAAAAGTACAGCGCTTCAGCCAATAGGAAGGGAGGAATTTTATTTACTCCTCTAATTGACCAATGAGAGTAAAGAGAGGGCGGGGTTAGTTCGTAATGTTTTCCTCAAGCACGGCGCTTTAGCCAATGGTTAAAGAGGGTTTTTATTTACGTCATATTTTGACCAATCAGAGTATTTATAGGGCGGGGCTTATTGAATTTGGCTCTCTCAGAAAGGTAACGCCTCCAGAAACAACGGATAATTTTACATAATCTGTAATCTGAAGAGGGTCTGGTGCCTTTTGGCAGGCGGACTTCATTCCGCGAAATCATTGTGTGTTACTGTCTTTACTAGAAATATCTATGGGGAGGGGGACTCAGAAACAAGCTACGAAAACAGGATGAGTTCTTTTAGAGGTAAACAATATTTGTCATCAATTGTTTTCTTCTCTTAATGGCATCAAATGAACACAATTTAGATGAATAAAAATAAACAGGACAGGTTAAAATCAACATGCTGGCGTTTTTAGACACCACCACCACCACAAAATATAAGATAACATACATAGAAATGTGATGATGTGATACAATTATTAAAGAGAAGCTGTAAGTAATAAAAAACTAGGCCACAACAAGATGTTAATGATTAAAACAATAGTAGGCTCCCAATACACAATACAGCATGATACTTCATACCTGGTACATGTGAGGTACTTACCTGGTTTACACCAGGTGCACACTAGGAACACGTGGTATTTTGCCTGGTTAATAGGGTACATACCAGTAATGTATCTAGTAAATACCAGGTGTTTACTTGGGTACGAACCTGGTACTTATTCTAAATTTATCGGGTGCTTATGTCCTTGTTATTACACAGCAAATATTAAATATGTACTTACCACTATGTACTATGCACTTAATAGACATGGTACATACAGTACATGTTAATATGTTCCTGCTTGTTCTTAAATTATATTTAATAAACAATAATCTTTTTCTTCAAAATTATTATTTTTACTAGTAAGCTTTCACTATGCATATGGAGAATATGAAATGTTCCTTTTTTATGTTTCAGTGAGCTCATACTGCACATCCCTCTATAAAGAAGAGTATGAGATCATTCATCAAAGCTGACTAATTTATGTTTATTTGCATTTTTAATCCAATAATAACAAGATAATGTGGATTAATTCTCTTAATGATGAGAAATTGTTTTGTTTCTTTGCCTCAGACAGCAGTGTCCTCTCCTTGAACGTGCTGCCGTCATGGTTTAGAATAAAAATACCTTCATCAGAGAACACACTGTACCACACGCAACTCTTCTTGCATAAGAGTCAGCTGCGTCAGCACTGCTGGGATTGTTTTCATATAAAACCAGTTTGTCTTCCCATGAAATTAAATCATCACTTTGGGTGTTTTGCTGTTCATTAAGCAATAAAAATAGAAAGTTGTGCTGCGCTGCAAAGTGTGAAATGTGCACATCAAGAACGTTTCATGTTCCCAGTTTACAGGAAGTTGTAACATAATCCCAGCTGAACACGATCATAACAAGCAGCCGCCCGTCACATTGTTTTCATGTTCAGCAAGTCATGTTGCTCAGACCAGCTCAGGCTCTGATAATGATTATTCTCTCATCAAAGATATTTTCAACTTTGATGAACACATCTCTAACCGATAAGACTTTCACATTCACAGTAAATAAGTTTCAGAACGACTGAGCTATCTTGTCAACTTCAGCTGCAAAAGATTCATTCCCAGTTTTGGTTTATTTAAATAAGATTTGAAACAGGTAACGATAAACATGAGGCGTTTTTTTTTTCAATCAGTGTCTAAGCAGACAAGAATTCTGTCAATTTTATTTAAATAGCTATTTCCGGCAGGATCAATAAAGTTCTTCTTATCTTATTTAAAATGACTGAGGTTGACCCAAGTGCTTTACAGTCAGACCTGATAACAAGTCAGAACGTAAAAGGTAGAATAAACAGGCGGTACGCCGATGTCCCCCATTGCTGAGAGATTCAATAAATTAATGTTTGTAGTTTTCAAGATGAGTGTTTTTCTGGAGTTGAACAGGAAATGAAAGTAAATCTTAATGTTTCTGGAGCAAAATATTCAATTGGGGAGGAATTACACTGTGTATATATATTTTTTTCTTGTCTAAGGCAGCGCAGTGACAGATCCTTGGAGGATGTAGCAATTTGTCCAACAGGTACAATGGCAGCGCCAGGGGGTGGCCAATGGTGGCCTTGGCCACCCCATTCATTTAAGGAAACTAGTCTTTTAAACTTGAAAGCCGAATTTCCCCAAACAAATTGGCTGGCTGGTAAAAAATAAATAAATAAATAAATAAATAAATAAATAAATAAATAAATAAATAAATAAATAAATAAATAAATAAATAAATAAATATATAAATTATATATATATATATATATATATATATATATATATACAGTGGCAGCTATTTTGGATTATTTTATTTCTTTATGTGTGGCAACCCTTTTTACCCTCTTTTTTTTTCCTCCTTGCTCTTGGCGAAGACTGATGCTTTTTCCTCTCACTCCTTCCTCTGCTTCTGCTCTTTGTCCTGTGAACCTTATATGTCTTTATGTCACCAGTATGTTGCTTTTTCTTATGCTGAGGTTTATTTGTAACTTTACACTGTGTCTCGTCAAGGACACAGTGTGAGATATGATTTTTTTTTTACCTACTCTTACCTCATGTTTTCCCTTTTCCTTATCTAAACGAAAAGGGCAGCGCTTCCCGCGAGGCTGCGGCCTCAGGCACCCCCGTCTACCCATGTTTGTTTTCTCTTAGGAGAGCTGTCTGAAATGTAATTTTGTTGCGCTTCTGTGCAATGGCATTAAAGCTGATTCTGATTCAATCCAGTTTTACATGGGGAACTTTCTTACACCTAGATGTTGCCACACACCACTACGGTACTCAGCACCTCGCCTATTTTTCAAGTTTTCAAGCTCGCAACATGCACGGAGCGAGGCAAATTCCAATTCTCCTTAGTTGTTTTGCAACAGGGGACAAAAAGGGTGATAAAATGTACATATAAGGCACAACAAATGTAGATTAAATAAACTCTTGTGCAAAATTTTATTCAGGAACCAAAGTAAACATGGGATTTAAAAGTCTCTCTTCCATACACATACAGTATTTTAATCTGGATCTTAGAAGATCTAAGAAGACATCATGAGTCCTCCATGGCTGATGCAGAAACTGAAAAGATGAGTTAAATATGACAAAGCCGTTTATATAAATAGTAAATTGTTAAAAGCAAACTTAAAACGGACAGGAAGCCATTGAAGAGATGCCCAGGGTTTCAGTGGATTCTTTAAGGTAAAATCTCCAGATGTTTGTCGTTTTGTCTCTTTGCCATTTCGTACCTCGGTGTTTTTGTTAATTTTGTACCCAGACTTGTAAAAAATATTTTGTGGTTAGAATCTGATTAGGATCAGGGCTAAGATTTAATTCAGGGAACATCTGTGTGTTTCTAGCTGCAACAATTACACATGTGCTTTCATAATCAACAATTGTCTCATCATTCATCAACATACTTAAGTGAAATAAACAAACAGGCAATGGGTACAAAACGGTAACCGCCTGGATGACATGGTACTGGGAAGAGGTTAAGTGGCCCAGATTTACCACAGTCTGGTTTTTAGTTCCCTCTGCAGGTTTAAGAGTCAGATCTAAATTCTGATTCTAAGTTATTTACTGTAAACTACTTTGTAACCACTCGACATGTTTAGGTACAGCGTTGTTCCACTGAGCAAAGCTAAACACCAAAATCTACAAACACTCTTGTTTTCTTGTCATCAACAGCCGAAGCAACACCAGAATGATGAATCAACGGCTGCAGGGCCTGATGTTTGCAGACTCACACCGTCTCTCTGAGCATGTTCCCAAAACATACGTGGATAAACAGGAACGTTTTTTTTTTTATTGAGTTTTCAGATGAACCAAACTGTACATGTAGTTGTTTGGACGCATGATGATGATGTTGTCTGACAAAATAAAGGGAAAAATGTCTCGCGCACAAGAAAACAGGTGGGAAAATCAACCCTTGGACATTTTTGGTTTAACTTTAAAAAAAAAAAAGGCTCTGGAGTTCCGGAACTGGTTTTGTTCAAGAACCAGTTATTGGAACAATATACCGTATTTTTCAGACTATAAAGCGCACTTAAAATCCTTTCATTTTCTCAAAAATCAACAGTGAGCCTTCTTGTATGAATTCTGGTTGTGTTTACTAGAACTTGTTTTATGTGGTGCAAAATACGTCAAAATGAACTTGTTTCACTTAATGCGCTTTATAATCTGAAAAATACGGTAAATCTTCCAACAATGAAGATTTTTGCTGAAACAATCCAACTTTTTACCTAAAGGACGCCATCATCATGACCATGTTCTGAGTCGGCACACATTTAAATTTCCTTCAGTTCGTATTGAATTTTGACAACCTTCAATATTGAACACTATCATAAACTTGTAAAAAGGTTTGTTTCAACCTAAGTGCAGCTCTTCGTTACACAAATGCCGAAAAAAAAAAAAACAATGATCAAAGGAAAATAACAGTTTTAAATGTGAACAACTCCCGGATTTTTTCAATCCAGCTCTGAGCGGCTCCCGTCTTGGGTTTGCTACAGTTTCTTTTATAAAAGTGTTACGCTTCAAAAGCCTCCTGTTAATATTTTGTTCTGTTACATCACTTGTCAACCTGGGTACAAAAGAACCCCACCTGACTGAACAAAACAACCTTTTCTGTCCCAACTGCAAAGCGACAACATCGGCTGTTTTTCCAAGAAAAGTGTCGTTTGAAAGAAAAACATTCTGTCAATGTGTGACAATAAGTTGATGGAGCCACAGTTAACACAGAAAAGGACTTCGTCAGCAGCAGATTTAAAGCTTATTAAGATTTTTTTTAACAGGAAATTGAGAGCAGAGAAGCAAAAACTACATATTTTGATATTAAATTTTGTTCATTCTGA